TAGCAGATAAACCAGACCCCTCGGAACCACCTGGGTCAGCAGAACTGCTGGGAGAAGTAGAAGAAACCGTACGGGATTTCTCCGTCAAAATTAGCCTCTCCTCGAAAAGCTTCTCCAACAACTGGCGGTGTTCCTCCAAAAACCCTGGCTCCTTGGGAACCACGGAAGAAGATTTAACTACTTCTTTAATCTGCTTTGTGGTTTGATGACTGGTTTCTATCTCGTTTTCTAAAAATAACAAGAACAGAAAACATAAAAGGGCAGCTCAGTTTTACCTCAGTTCAAAAACACTCACTCCTGAAGGAGAAAAAGCAGTTTTTCCAGGGCTGAACTACCCTATCCATGCCTTCCACAGAACCTCTGCAAAAGGTAGGCCCCAGAATGAAAACTTTCTGGAAAGGGAGAATATGAATGTATATAGTACTAATCTTATGTTTAGTATTTTCATGTATTTACTTTGAGATGGAAATGGGAGACGCAGTCCAGGTCCAACCGAGTACCGAGGAAATCCACCTCATAACCGAAGCAAGGCGCAGCATGGGCTTCGCACATGTCATCGCATGCCAGCTTGCCCCCCACTTCGGCACAGTCAGAACCAAACACCATGTGGTAATTGGACAAGATCTGCAGGAAACAAAACCAAAAAGGGAATTGAAGTACCAACGAAATGTGGCAACACTTGTACAAGCATATGACTAAACTGTTGTACCGCCATGTGGCAACACTGCCATACTATTATGCCGAAATGTTGTACCCCTATTTGTTATAACTGCAGGTACTCTACCTTACCCCACCTGGCAACACTGCTAAGACTGTCATACTCAAAGTACTCACCAGAAGGAAAAAGATGGCCGCCCCCGTGAGGCGAAAATCCGCGACGCCGCCCATTCTCACAGACGAGAGTTTCAACGCCGCTCAGTTCCACGCCGCCCGTTTTCTACGACGATCGTCGTCTTCTTTCACTCGTTGTCGTAAAAAAATATTGCTTCCTCTGAACTTAATCAAGCATCCTCCGAATCATGAACGATTTTCCCACGATCGAATTAGTTTTTCTACTATACTCGACTTCATATAAGCGTAGCAGCTTAGGTTTATTCCA